TAAGAGGAATACGTACCAAGAACGGTTAAGGTTTTCAGCGAGTAGTGTCCTGTTTCAAATAATTTACGCTTTGCACCTTGAATGTTTAACGAGAAAGTTAAGCTGTTAGCAGTTAGCTTTAGCAATTCTCGAATGAATTCGCCGTTCGTTAGACGAAATTAATTGGAATTAGAATAAATTGATCGTTTGAATGACATCATTCGTATTAAAGATAAATTATGTAAATTTGTAAAATTTTAGTTATTGGTGGAATGTGGAGGTGGAATTAATTAAAATTAACCACAGTAAATGGGGTGGGGTTTATAGGGGTAAAGAGAAGTTAATCGAAATAGCGAACAAAACTTAGTTTCAGAACAATGGTGTACACTTTGATAATGTACTAATCCTGTTCGCAAATTTTATCAAAGCGAACTAGAGCGCGGTTAACAACTTGTGCGTCGTCCGCGCAAGTGGATTGCTCTTCATCGTCCCCACTTCCTCCAACCGGAGAAGGCTAACTTCCTTAGCGCCGCCACCAACCAGTAGTTCAATAGCGATAATATTCGTAAACAATTCGAAACTCCGGGGCTACTTAGTGTTCCGGCTCGGGCCACAGGAAGCGTGCCACGCAAAAACACTAAGTACGTCGTGGATAACATCTGCTGGCCGCCGCCGCCGAAGCCGGGGGCGGGTTTGCTTTTGTTTTTGCCAACCCGGGCAACGCGCCCCCATTGTTTTTGTCTAGTCTTTTTATGTACGAACGTGGAGCAAACCGCAAACCAAACGAACAGATGCGGTCCGAAGGTACACTAAGAATGGGTATTGGAGAGCAGATGAAGTATAGGGAAAAAATGTTGTTCGAGTTAGAACAAAAGGTCGTTAGCCCCCCCCTCAATACCGCCGGAAGTTCAGTAAGCTCGTTCCTTTGTGTAAATAAGATTTTCTCTTCTTGCAAATTCGACCAGACAAATCGACCACCAACGCTTTAAAGAAAATTTTCGACATAAAAGACCCTGCCTTTTCAGACAATTTCTATAGAATATTCATGTAACTTTTCCTATCTTTTAATAAAATGAAATCAAGTTGGGAACTAATTAAACATTTCTTATAATTCATTCTTGTACTATCTCCACAATTATTCATTAAAAAAATGTCTGACATTATCAACAAATTAATTACTTTTAGTTGTCACTATAAGATTATAAGATTTTAAAAGTTATTTCAGATTCCTAGTGAAACCTAAGCTTTTTCGAGAATATTCAAGGATCTCAACAGATTTCTAGCTTTTTGTAGAAGATCAACAAATTTCAATGATTTCCAAATATATCCCAGAATTTTTAACGAAATCAGTTAATTTAGGAATTTCTAACGGTGCCGATGTCAGGAAATTCTAAGGACTTTAAACAGATGATTCAACACAGTGTAATGGTAGGGAATAAAATTAAAACGATTAATTAAGCGAAGCTAAGGATGGCAGTAAAGACATGTTTAGATATAGGTAGTGAGATATCCAACGCCGGAAGCCTACCAACAACAACGGATAGAATACCAACAACAACGGATAGAATTTCAACAATAACTAAGGCTAGAAGTCGTGCAAAATTCCCTGATCGTTTCCGCATACATATTATGTTATCGTTTGAAATATATATCTGAATGATATGCAAACAGTTTTGTAGTTTGCAGAAAAATATGGATAACTAATGAAAGTTCGCCAAGGTTAGGAATTTTTGTAGGTAGAAGCATTTCTGACTGCATCTGCCACAACCTATATTCTGTATGCCACTTCCACGTGTTAGTACAAGACATTAATTTATTTAAAGCAATAGTTAATGTGCTTTTCTGGTTATCTATAAACCCATTATACATTGTACTGTATAATTCAGTTCATCAAGCTGAGGATAATTTGCATGTTATATCTCATTGTATGCTGAGAAAGAAAATTAATATGTTAACACAAAGCATATCTAATGCTATGATGTTGGAACATATTTGTACTCATTTTCTTGTTTTACATCTATACTTATCCTCTCATGCTAGAAACATAGCTGCGAAACGTAACAGCTCAGAGGACGGATATTTAAGCACATTTCCATGATAAGCCTTAAAAGCTCTCGCGATCAAAAGTTTAAACACCGTTGCATTAAATGTTTTCATTAGAATTGAAATCCTACATAATCACGTTCAATAACCTGTTACTCATACAAAATGTACATAATACGCGATTGATTATTGATAGTTGAGGGGTTGTAGGGGAGGCCGTTTGAGGCCAAAGCGATGTAATCGAGACATTCAATAAAGGCCTGCGTGGCCTTGATGTACAAAGAGAGAGAGAGATGTTGAGATAGGCATCCGCATTGTGGGATCGGTCGACGATAAACTGTGAACCCACATGTCCCTAATGTCCTAATATTAGGACGTCTCAAACAAAAGCTTTTCTTTGAGTCAATGGCGAAAAATCCGGAAGCCCTAACGATTCGGATTGTTGATATCACCTATTATTAGTACAGCGTGGTGATAACTCGTTTTCTCAATTAATTAATTAAATTATTTAACTAAACTCTCTCACCTTTATAACTTGAAGAAATTGATGATTTAGAGAATTATTCTCGTAGAAATTTCTTACTATTCCTTGGATTCCCGGAAGAACTAAACGAAACAGGCGAAACATTCGTTTATGAAATTTGTGAGATGAATAAAGAATTTCGTATTAAAACTCAGATGTTAAAATCGTCGACAGATTTTACCGGTTAAGAAAATTTATAAAGAAATTAAGTTTACGTACATAAAACAAATTTTAATTTTAAAGTTGCTGAAAAAGCCTTGATAAACCTTTGATAAGGAATCGGATTGGACAAAGAATAGCAGGGTATACATTAAGCGCGAGAAATAAAATAATTCACATAAAAAGAAACGATTTGAAAGGGTCAAAGAAATTATCTATTTAAGAGAACTGAACTAGCTTTTCTCTGTTTTCATGTTTTTTTTTATGAATTGTAAATCATTGTTTCCCAATTGCAACTTAGAGATAGCTAACTATTTAACTATTTTACAATTATATTTAGTATGATTTCATTATTCATGGTGGTAAAGTAGATTATAAAGGAGTCGTTCAATCGAATATTGAAATTGAATAACATGTTGTAATAAATTATTGTACATTCATAGAGGAAATGCAGCATATAATTGAAGGGGAATATCAAGTAACTAATAGATGAGCCAACCCGTGTTACGCCAGAAACCACGGAGGTCATGAATATTATTTTAACATAGAACCTAAACTTAGTTAAACATGTAGATACACTCAATGCGGATGCAATCTCTGCCTACAAATTGATTTATTATACAATGAATATTGCAAGGTCGGAATAGCCTAAATTTAAAATGTTTCATAATTTAGCTGCAATCTCGTTTCACTATGGGCCGGTTGTACAATATACCAAACTTCCCGACAGCGTTATCTGACCGATAAGTTAGTTGGTATTATATTAGAATGTACGGATATTTTTGTTGGCGAGATTATTGGCAGGATAACTTATCGGGTATTGCCGATAAGACAGTTATCCGCTAGATATACAAATATGATTACCTAGGATTTTATATAAAAACATTATATGGTTATTAGCGTTATGGCACAAACTACTAGATGTGGGGAAAAAATACTACCAACCGACTCTTATCTCGCCGATAGCAATCCTACCGACAAAAACAGTTTGTACAACAGCGAATGACTTTATCGTGCAGATAAATTTATCGGCCGGATAGTTATCAGGTAGATTTATCGGTGTATTGTACAACCAGCCCTATGTGTATCATGTTACAAATAATAGCAATAATGCAAAAAATGTTTATTTTTCTTTATATTATAAAAAATATTTTAAGCAACTTAACCCTCAGCTCCATGTGACCTCGACTAAATAAAGTGAAATACGTAACAAAGACTGATTTGAAGTTATTTGCGCTACAGTCCACGAATCATTATTTGAGGATTTTTAATTGATTAAATAATTAGCATTTATAGTTATTACAAAATATTTGAAATTCCTTAACATGTTTTAAACTATTATAATTATGCACTAAAATTCTCAAATAACTACGGATAATGCAGCCATCGTAAATAAAATAATAATTCATATATGATTAAATGACATAATTAAATTCCTAGAATTAATACTCCAACATAGAATTGTCATGTAAAATTTTACTATAATATAACTTTATTATGTTAAGACTAAAATATAAAACTTAGTAAAATTATTACATTAAAACCCACTTTGTATCTAAAACAGTAGCTTCCAGAGCGCGCTAAGTTTTATTAACATTACCGTTTCATATTGCATGTCGTGAAATAGAACCATTTCCTCCCAGGGTAATACATTATCTAGGTTATGAAATATATCCATCCAAGTTTATTTAGTGAAGACGTTTCTATTTAAATTTTCTCGTTAAAATATTTTCCATCTTTCCGGGTTTAGTTTTTGTTAAATTATTGTAATGGTGGTCATTTCTGCATCGGTAAATTCTAAATAGCCATTATAAACCAGGATTATCAGGGAATCGTTTATCTCTAAGCGGATCTAATGGCTGTAGTAGTGACCAAAGTGCCCTTGCATAGCGTAAGTGATGTTATTCGAGATAGTGGGTCAATTAGGTTAATCAATAGAGCGTGCACTGTACCGGATTGTACAGGTGTTGACTTAATATATTGTTCTAGATAACATTATAATTGACCGCACGTGCGTCGCAATATACACCTGCATCTTAAACATTAAGAATTTCATTTTCATTAAGGAACTACTAAAAGGTTGTTTAATCGGAATGAATAGGAACAACGCTTTTGTATTTAGATTAAGTTTGCAAACTGTTGTAAAGGAAATTAATAAATTCATTAATTATTTATTTAGCTATTCCATTGTTGTAATACTCAACTTTATTATGTTAAGACAATATAAATAATAATCCTAACAATAGAAAGCCAAAAATAACACCCTAAAAGATAATTAATACTGGCTGGTATTTACCTTTTCTCCCCTAGAGTCTTTGTAGACGACCCATTGATTGAGGGAACTCCTCCAGTATTCCACCAGAAACGCCTCCGCGTACTCTTGTCCCTGGCCGTTGCCAAAGCGACCCTGCGTCTCCGTCCACGTGATCAGGTGATTCTTTTGCAGATCAATTTCTAGGTATTCACGGACCTCGCTGCTAATCTGCGCCTTCGGGCACCACGCTCCGCCGTTCTTCTCCATTCGCAACCTGCAAAGACAATGGGAAACGGAGTTAGCCAAGGCGAATTAGGGGGCGACGTGCCGCCGAAGAGATCGTGACGCGATTTGTATCGTCTAAGATATTGTTCTCGGATCGAGAACAACTTTTAATGAGCTCTATAGTTAAAAGGGTCGATCGGAAAACTGATAGCCTTCGTTAAAGTAAAGGAACGAATGAATTTGATAAATCACAAAAGGTATCTAGTTAAAAACAAATTTTCAAATTTTTATAATTGCGTTGTTTCACACATTATTATTCCGGGAATTTTATATCACTCACAACATATGAATGCTGTAACCATACTTACGAAAATAGTACATGTATTGGGTAGTTTTGCAAAGGAAAAGTTTTGCTTGGCAAAAGGTGACGTCCTTATGACAACTCTGAATTTTCGGCAGTCTTAAGAGACGCACGGCTAAACAAGAATCTTTTTGGTTTTAGGTCTAGTGCTAGTTCTATTCGTTAAACTAGACTAACACTAGACTTAGAACTAGAAACATTCTGGTTTAGCCGCAGGTCTCTCAAGACAGCTAAACCCGAATAATTTTAGTTCTATAGGTTTTGTGTTAGTTCTAGTGATAGTGCTAGTATAAAACTAGAACTAACACTAGACCTAAAACTAAAAACATTCGGGTTTAGTCGCACGTCTCTTAAGAGGGCTAAACCCGAATGATTCAAGTTCTAGGTCTACTGTTAGTTCTAGTTTTTGTTCAGTGAAAAATATACAACAATCTAACGCTGAATAACAACTAATACCAGAACTAACGCATTCATTAGAACTAGAAACATTTGGGTTTAGCCGCAGGTCTGTTAAGACGGCTAAACCCGAATGATTCTAGTTCTAGGTCTAGTGTTAGTGCTAGTTTTAGCTCAATAAAAATATGCAACATAGTGATATCTTATGTTAATTAGTGCTACCTACCACTGTCACTAGAACTAGTGACACTAGTAAACTAGTAAGTAGGTACGCCCTGGTTTCTATGGAAATATATTTTTGTATATTCCATCTTAAATGAAGTTCACTGTATACACGGTAAAAAATAACTAACTCTATTTTAAATCTAACATCTTTCCAGGAGGTCCATTCATTTTTCGAGAAAATATTTCAATCGATTGTTAGAGCAAATTTTAGAGATTAAATGAATCTATGGTAAAGTAAATTATTAACTCTACGATGAGTGAACACAGATTACATATTAAATCTCGATAGCATTGAAATTATAATCTATACAGATATTACAATGCCCTCAAAATTAGTGTTTGGTATATTCTTAATAGAATGCTACAATCTATGTAGATTTAGCAATATACTCCAAATTAGATTTAGGTGTATTCTAAATAGAGTTATAAGAAAATAAACAGTGTTCACAAATAGGTTTATTATTGTAAAAACTGCACAATCAAATAAATAATTGCATTTATGCTATCTTAAGATATACTAAGTCGCTATATTTAAGTAAGCATACTTAAATTATAAAACAAAATCATATGCAGGTGTCATTTTTAATGCAAAACACTTAAACTACTAACACGAAAACTTAAAGTAAAATATAAATCCATATTTTAATACCAAATAAAAACCAGCGTCTAGTTGCGTTTGCGCTAAATTGAACGTCATCCTTATACATCAGAAGATTTAAATCTATAATATTTAAGTCTTCTTTAATAGGAAATTGCACTTTGAATGCATTTAAGATATCCACATACCGTTGAGTACAAACTGAACAACACGCCTTGTTTTCACATCAACACGTGTTCAAGCAAGAAAGATTGTGAACTTGTTTGGTCTTTTCTGGATTTAGAGTTAAATTTTAACTCTAGCATGTTTAACGTAAATCTACAACAGGAAACTTTAATCTATTAGAGTATAGTAAAAAAATTATCTCTAATACAGTTTATCCATAAGTAGAGTAAATAATAAAATAAAATTTACTCTAAGAAAAATCCAAATTTTTAATCTTTACTCTAAAATTTTAAACCGGGATTCTTTTTTAGCGTGTACAGTTTATTATTATGTAGTCACTTATAAAAAAAGAGAAATATTTATTTTAGAATATTTTTACGATTTTATCTATCAATATTTCAAATTTATAGAATAAACAATGGGGATATTTTGTTTTTTCAACTTCGCTCATATTAATTGCGAATAGTTTTAAAAACATTTTCGTTGTGATATAAAATAAACTGTGAGAGAAGGTTTGTATGAAGTATATGTCAAAGAATTATTAAATTCGCCGTAACATTGTGTTTAAAGTAAGTTTAGTTTTGAAATTAAAACGTAAAGTGAAAATAAATAAAAGATGACCTAATCTGTCTTTTGAATGATATATTTGCAATTTGTACGGTGGAAGGAAAGCTTTAAACGTTTTCCCGGAGGACAACGCGTGTTCCAGCGACATAATGGGGGTGTCCTTTTCAAAGGATTGTAAAGTCGTTGCCCGCTGTTATTCGATTCCGCGCGAACGAATGGCAGTTCTATTATGTATATTTCACGAGTTGAATAAATTGGACCAGTTTTTACTCTCATGGGGGAAACGAGAGCGATGCCGAAAAATGAACAGAGCCAGCATTTTCACCACACAATATACCGGACGTGAATGTGTATATTTTAAACTCATTCTAAAAGTTCATATTCCGTTTTCAGAAAGCACACATTTAAAAACTGTACATTTCGACGGACGGTGTTTAATTTACGACTTTGATGAGTTAATAGTAACACGCCCCTTTGCATACATCATCCAGCTGCACTACATGCAAATTAATTCGTGCATAAATTAATGAATTGACAATCGTCGGGAGCAAGCTTCATTTCCCCGGTAAATGTACTGATCGTGAAATTGTGTACACAACCCACAGTTGTGGTGGGAAATATTTAACAAGTGCATATTGTGTTGGAATACGGATTAACTATTTATGAAATACCAATTTTAGGATATTCATATGTTTTTTTAATTATTATAAGATTAAAAATTATTATTATAAATTCAATATCTAAAACACTACATAACAATTATTGCGACTAACTAATTATTTGGCTGTATTCATAGCAAATATTGTTGTTTGTTACTATTATTATTGATCAGGACGAAACTCAACCTAGGATGCTCAGTGGGTGAGTTCATTAGTTAACTGGATGTTACTATCAGTCCCAAGCCAGATAACTACTTAAATTTGGATCACGGATTGAAAGAAACGCCGCGCATGATTGACGGATTACAAATATTATCAACAGATTTATCAACAGCTTTAGAAATGTATCGCGTTGTGGCAAAAGAGGCTATCAGTGAGAGAAAAATTAATATCCATGTCTGGTAGACCTATACTCCATCGAAGAAGCAATACACGTTGATAAACATGTACTTGGATACTGAAAATCAGGAAATCTCTCGGAACCGACACATTCCTAATGAATTGCTCAAATATACAGGAACAGAATTAACAGAAAAGCTGACACAGCTATTTAATAGAGTGCTATGCCAGTCATAAATACCAATGGAATGGCATAACAGTACAAGAATATATATTCAAAGAAGGCGAAAAACTAGCCTAGAACATTACAGAGGAATAACTCTTCTAAATACATGAATGAAGATGTTTACAAGTGTAATAAAAAATAAGTTATAAAATCGTAGAAGATATTCCGATACCAGGTGACTTGCGACAAGGAGATAGTCTCAGCCCATTTTTGATCAACTCAGAGGTTTATCTGCAAAGTCAGCTACAGGTTCGTTCAAGCGAGCGAAGCCCTGAGCGTTTCTGTCTCTACTTCAAAAGCTAAAGAAATTGTGGTAGCAAGAGAACCAAGAAGATCTAACCTGGCAGTCAATTGATTCCGGTAGCCATTGAGTCCGTTGAACAAGTTATAGAATTTTTATACTTGGGCGTGCACAACTTAATTACTCACTATTCCTTAAAGGATTTGAGAGATCAAAAAAGCGGCCGCAATTTTAGACAGCCTACGAAACACTGTTTGATCAAAGAAAGACAAAGAGAAACAGAAATGAAGATAGAATTAAGAACTCCGACATCGAAGAGCAAATTGGGGTTCAGGACATTGTAAGATGGGGAAGACAGCGCAAGAAATTTAGGTACAATCTCGTCGTCCGAAGAATCGTCGGTAATCAGATCACCAAAGAGAAAGAGAATATCGGGATGAACATCCCATATAATCAAAATTTTAGGAACGTAGTGGCAATGTAACCAAATAAACAGAGTGTTGCTGGTTTTATGATGAACACTGTGTATAATTGTCATGGTCTAGTAAATCTGATGAAATAAACTCATTATGGGCCGAAGACCGTTCTGCCATTACATGCCAAAATTTTCCAGGAACAAATAATGAATATTGGACTTATTGATACCTCCATAGTGTGACTATTAAATGAAATTAAATAAATGAAAAGATGTACTTTATGACTCAAATATCGCAAAACACGGCGTTAAACAGAATCCCACATCGAAGTATCATGAATGATACTACTAACATAACTAACTAACATAAGAACTCACACTACAATCATCAAACTTGTAAATAAGCTGCCTTAAGAATAAATGGTGGTGCTAAACCTGTAACATAGTTCCTAATAAAGCATTTTGGCGAATTATCTCAATTCTAGCTTTCGGGTCAACCTCATTAAGATCGTGTAATACAAAAACTACATAATACATCGTAACTTCAAACTAAGACGTCATATTGACACAAGTTGTCAAACTGAATTAGAATATAAGTAGAATAAAAAACAAATATCTTCAGTATTGTGGGCATAATCGTCTCGCAGCTTTATCGAATTAGGAATACCGGTATAATTCATAGTAAACAAAAAACCGTAGCCAATCTCTGTATTTAATTAGTTGCGATTGAATTGACTTGGAATAATTGTCGTAATCCGAATTTATCAAGTCTTATAAGACGTTTAAGTAAAATTGAGTAAAATAGCTAGTTTCTCACTACAGCGCATAATACCAGTGACTCCTTCGCCTTTGTTGAT